AGTTCTCGGATTACAATACTGGAAAAATACATTATGTGAAGAGATCTTTTCGTATTAGGCGAGAGGCCGACAAAACCATGTCTAAAGCTTGTTATCTTCGTTTGTCTAAAAAAGTACATTACCGAGACAAAGAACGACTAAAAAGTTGCTAGGAGGCAATTCACAAGGGATAGAATTTGTTCTACAATATCCATCCTGTGAACATCACATGACATCTTATCACTGACACTCAGAGGGGCCTGTTTAAGCATAACTGTTTGAAAAACAGTATGTACTCTATGAAATATTGCGAGTAAAAACCAAGTAAAACTGAAAATTTTAACATAAAAACAGGTTTCCTTAGCCTTTTGTTTGGATGCTTGTTTTTTCAGCCGGCGCGGTACTCTGTTTTCAAGAGCCGTAGGATCTATTTTAAACACCGGCTTTATTCAAAGATCTGTTGTGCATTGTTTTGCTCCTTTAGCGGAAGGAACACACCTCCAACGTAAGCCAATCAAATCCAACCTACTTAAGTTGTTTACGACTGTCGCCGCATTGAAATATTTCCTATAGCTAAAAAATCACCCTAAAATGATGTATTTCCTAAACATTTATTCGAATTCATTCACACTGTCTCTGAAATATCTTCATATTGCCGAAAAATAGGCCGAAAATTATTGGGACATGACTAGAATAAATTATCAGTGTGTCTGGGTCATTACAATTTATTCAAATGTCATATCAAACCACGATTGATTGACGGAAAACAAAGACGATAATATTGCGAGGTATTTAAAGCAACCAATCAGCGATCGTATTACATGTTAAAGGGCAGAGGCCTCACAGGACAAAAGTTAGGATTCGAGATAAACAACTCCGGCGACAATTTGTATTATTATTATTGTATTAACAAGATGAAGCAAATGGAAATTTCACGTGAATCATTCTCCAAAAGTGCTCTCAAAGTTGATAATTTCGATGTTCTTGCACAGACAAGTCATTTCACATCGCATTTTCAACTTTCACCTCTCGCACGATTCTTTCGGCACGTGCAGTCGAAGCCGCATGGTTTATTGGCCAAGCGCCAAGTAAGCGATCACGCGAATGAGCGGAACGAACCCGGTAGCGGCCTCTTCCCCGCATTTCTGAGGAGTTGGTTTAACCTATTAATTTCACAATAAAATTCGTCCAAAACTAGAGTAATAAGTGGTTAAAAAAATATAATTTTTGCTTCGCCTGATAACACACATTCAATGAAGGACTACATAAGCTGTTATCAAACCCACATCTCAAATTTATTGGAAATGCTTTCTTTCCACCCTCCAGACATTTCGTTTATACATATAATATAATAAAGTTTAGTTCGGTGCCAATACATTACCATGTTAGACACAAGATTACAAATGTTTTCTCTAGAGTATGTTATGTCCAAAAGCTGAACGAGTCGTAAAATATTTTTGCACCATGCACTAATCTTCGTCGAATTTTTTTAAATCAATGCCAAACGACCGAATCTCCTCTCTTTCCTCGCAGAAGATGTGTAGCACCTATCGACTGCGATTATAAAAATATAACGATTTTAATAAAATATTCAATCTTTATACACGTTTTCCATTCATTTTATGACACGCTAACCGTGTGCTACGAACAAGCTATAAATATATATATCTGCATGGTGAAGTGAATTATGAAAGTTTGCTCAGTTCTCTAGTCTGCAAATCGTACGCAAGCCTTTTTCCATCTGCATTGTGTACACCAAAGATGTCTGTTCTCCATTCCGTACACCTTTCGGCATTTTTTGCTCTCTCCGCGTACCTTGCGATGCGTGTGAAGATGGGAATTGTGCTGTACCCTGGATGGGCTGGTCTTGCCGCTGCTCGCCTTCGACGGAGGTAGGTAGGTCGAGAGACTTGTGATTGCCGAAGCATCCCAATTGAAGCGCGGATGTTGTGGCGAGCCGCATCCACTTGGTGATACTTCAGCGCCTGGTTCGGTCCACGGGTTCTTCACCATGTCGAAATGAGACTGAGTTGGTGTTGGTGACAGTGCAAGCGGTGTTGGGAAAACATGATCGTTCATGTAGTCGTCTTCTTCTAAGTCTATTTCGTTGAAGTAGAAGTCTTCTTCCCCGTCACTGTAACCTTCCTCAGTCGAACGTTTAGGCCTGAAACGCACAGAAAAAAGATAAGATAAACAGGAAAACTCTAAGATATTAAAACATTCCTCAGCTAAATTTGGCAAAGATAAAGCGTCTGTAACGTCGCTTATAAATCAATGCCGAGGTATTCAGCTATTTGCTGACAGGACAGAACCGATTTCATAATTCAAAATTGAAAAACCGGGGCCATTGTAAAGTGAAGTTGTTTTATTTGTGCATTAAGTTGAAAATACAATCTTCAAAAGCAGGCTAAAGATACCCATAATTAATACCGTTTCAGTTCACTCCTAACAGACATAACGTGATGTGGAGGCGAAAAAGAAAACGTATTACAAGTAAAATATAAAACACACATCAATCCAAAGCGTGTAAAATAACAAAGCGTACCCGAGATGGATTGTTCGAACATGTCTGATAATTCCGGGGGCGGTGGAGAGGGTTTTCCCGCATCGCGGCCACGTACATTTGTACAATGTCTTCACGCTTGAACTCGAAGAGGTAGAAGTCTAAAAACGAAATGGAAATAAATAAGAAAATATGTAATGTTTTTTCCTTAAATACTGGCAAGTACAACTACATAGACGACATTGGATGCTAAAAAACAGGAGTCAATACGAGAACCGAGAATTGACGGAACAAATATAGAACAAACAGCAACACGAGACGGATTCACCGTTGCGTGATTTAACGCACACCTTAGATTTTGCAACTCCACACAGAATCAACAGAAACCCCCTAAAAATACAATTCTCAACTTGAATTGAGAGAATCACAGTTTCAGTCAGCTTGTCTAAGGGAGTAGAAGTATAATCTAGATGCTGATGCAATCTTTTACGCCAGATCGGCAAAACCGCCAAATTAGGAGGGACTTCTGCTTAACTTCTTTTTCATTTTCAGTTGGCCCAAAAATTTCCCTACCTTTCTTTTGCGGGTGTTTTCTTGTTTTTGAATATCGACTCCGATTCCTTCGTCAACCGGAGAGGGTGGACCACTAAAGAAGAAGTTCGAGTCATTCGGGTGCACCGGCGAGGACGAACGGAGCGGTGAATTTCCCGGGCTCGAAAATGTGGCCATCTCGGATCCTGAGTCAGGAGTTGGAGGAAAACTAAGAAACATTTCGTCCGCTGAAAGTAGGAAAGAGAAACAAACTTATCACGAATAGAATCTGGCAAAAATTGGTGTGATCACTGCCGTAAAGCGGAGAAAAAGGACCGTATCGAGGAAAAACGGCTTTATGTGCCGATTGGCAAATATGTTCCGATCGCTTACGATCGATGGTACAATGAATCAAATAATTACTGGAAGCAGAAACTGCACACTTACTTTGATCCGCTTCTTTGAAAACCGGCGAGATTGACAGAGCAGTAAGAACAAGTGCAGCCATTTCTTCACTTCTGGTAACGTTTTCTTGTCGGTTGGAACATCCACTGAAAAAAAAAAAACGGCTTTAATCGATGGACGTGAATAACGAGCTAAGCCTTACGAATTTTAAACAAAGGAATATCACAGGACGTCGTTCTGAGAACCTTAGAAGTAGAAATAAAACTCCCTCCCATTAACCTAAACGTTTCCAAGAAGTAAACGAGGTACTCGAATACGAAAAAGCACCATGTGAGAGTAAATGTTCGGATTTTCCTTGTGGAGTTACAACTTACTCGTAAGAGTGTATTCCATGTGCTCTCATCTTGCAGGGTACCGGGCTCGATACGAATGAACTTGTACCGTTGCTACCTTTGAGTTCCATAGGCACCGAGGAATACCGTTGCCCTTTCATCAGATGAATCTCACTCGGTCTCACAGCGACAATTGTTTCGTGTTGGTCCAAAATTTGAACCAAAACTTCGTTGAACTCTGAACGAATCTTAAGTACACGGGCCCCAACTTCGCGACTCTTGTACGTGATGTAAACATGTTGACCAGTTTTTAACGAGGAAGCTCCGATGCTTTTGAATCCTGGTCCCACAATTTCTCCTTCATCCACTTCAGCAATGTAGTCGTCTTCAAACAGAATGGTGTAAGTGTTTTCGCCCGTAGGTTTGCTTTTGACCGCCTCAATTATCCCGGAATAGTAGAATCCATCTTTCCAAGGAGCGCAGACACGAACTCCAAGAAGCGAATTTTTCGGTCGCCTTCTCGACAGCAGCATAATTTTCTCCCTATCTTCCGTGAAGTGATTCGCCTAATTTTGATCAGAACTTAAATAATTTCGCCCAAAAAGTCGAAATCGGTAAACACTTATCCGAATTAGACACTCGCCGAACGAAAATGCTTTGTTGTTGTTTTTACGGAGGACTTTTGGGGGGCGGATGATGGGAGTATACCGGCTTCCAATCGATTGGAAAACTTGATTTGTCAATTTTCCCAACCAAATACTATGCAATCTTTCATTGGTTGTATAAATTTTAAGGAATGTGTGATTGGCTAATGCAAGTTGCTATTTTTGAATCAATTCAAGCAGCTTTGTTTACATTTTGAGCTTTCCGAAGTATCTCAGTCACGTTCTAAACTTTTGCTACGGGCAATCGTTCCCTCTTTGTTCTGCCTCGAAAATAAGTTCAATTTAACTACGAAGCGTCTCCGAACCGAACAGGTTTCGAAAATCTGCCAGTCCTGAAATTGTTTTCTTGTGAGGAAAAAAAAAATGCTTTGAAAGCGGACCCGAGCATGTGACATCAGTTACTTTCTTCGCTAGACATTCAAAGAATACCCTGCTGTGTGATTGGTCAAAATCAGAGGGGAGGTGTCAAAAATTGCAAAACAAATCGTACTATTGGTTGACAGAACTGATCTGTCACATATTTGGCCGGCACCTCGGCGCCACAGCAATTATTTCTAGTAGATAATGTCAAACTAGTCTTGCAAACATTTCAGGTTTACCCGACTGTTGTTTGAAAATCAAAACTTGCAGTTATTTCTGCATGAAAACAATAGTATTTTCCTCGTTAGTTGCACATCATTTTTCCGGTTTACCTTAACTCCTGAAATAAGCTGCTCGCCTTCCACGAAGGGTTTTGTGAGATCTTTCTGGCTGAGAACTGGCGTGTTGATCTTACATTGTGGAAAAAATTAATCTTATTTTAAGTATAAAGCTTTTTTTACCCCTCGAAAACATATATTGGCCGCACAAATCAAAATCCGAGGCAGATATCGCGATTTCTGAGTTCTAAACAAAATACCTTAAGCTGTTCAGAACACTAGATATTCACGGTCTTGAAAACCACGAAAATATAAGTATGTAAAATATAAGTATGTTTAAAATTTCTCATATATTAACAGTGAAATACCAGATGTTTGAGTAAGAGATATGAGCTCGTCTAAAGCGAGAGGTATCAATTTTCGAGCGAGCTTCAACCCATCTGAGCCGGATAATATGGCACGGGACCAAACGAGAGTCAACCTTACCCTGAGGGTGTGAAATTTGACACGATATTCCCGTAAGAAGGCGAAGGGTGAAGATTAAAACCTAACTGACAACCAAGTTTCGGGAAGTTGTAAACACTCCAAAAGAGACAATGTAAAAGGAGAACCTGAACACGAAGCAGATGTTGTTGAGGAAACATGCCTGTACTCAAAACAATAATAACCTGTTATGCTTGCATCTTTTACGAGGCTAATATATATTTTGAACAGTACAGTGATGCAAGTATGCTTATCAAGAGCCATCTGTCATAAATCAACCGATATTTCCTGGTGATTTCAAACGGATCGTCTCACATAGTCACGTACCAGGTGTAACTAAATTATTTCAAAGCAGTTGTTTACTCCGCGCGTAATGGCAAATTATGTAAATTACACCGAGCGACACCAAATTACAATGGCTGCAAGCAAGCAATTATTTAATAATGATGACAAGATAATTGAAGCAAAAGTTTAGAACAAATGGTTTGCAACGGAAAAGTGCATTTGTTGCAGATAATATTGACGCTCTCAAGCAAAGGATAAGATGGAAATCACGAGATTAGAGTTAAGCTCATTTTTGCTTGTCACCTTTTTGTGGGGTTTGTCACGCGAATAAAAACAGTCAACTTTACTTCACAATGATAATTGCAGATGTGGAAAAGCACAACGAACGTATGTACTGCAATTTGAATTGTGTTTGATTCAGTCGCGCATAAACTGGTTATATGGGCTTGCATGAGATCCAAGATGAAAAAAAAAAAAACGCCAAAAACAAAAACCGAAACGAAACGATACAATGAACAGAAGAAAAAAAAATCGTCGGCTCTTGAACTGGCTTGCATCCAAAGTTGCTTTTAGCAAAATAATTGGGATCAACAACCGCGTCACGCGTAACGAGTGCGTAGGAACATTTTTGTGGGTGAAAAGAATCAGTGCCAAGTATTTAGTGAATCGAGGACCAAACACAACGGGAGGAGGAAAAACTTATTTCTTGTTCATAACCACTCAAACAGTAACAGGTAATCCAATAAAAAGTCCGTCGTATTGAGCTAAATGGGTCACATTTTCCTCGCGCTTCTGTGGCGTGCGTGCTCTGTATTTAGGGTAACCCTAAGCAACGTTTATTAGAAAGATTGTGATAATTATTGTTGTCTATAATTTATCTTTCTCGAATACAAAAGTTTAAACAATTCATGAGACCTGTTTTTATTAAGTTAATAACGATAAACTTGAATATTTGTAAATACCACGTATAATAAATACTAGGGCGGAGAGGCGGGTGGGAAGGAGGTGTGTAAGAGACGCCGGCTTGTCAGAAGAAGATTGGAATGGATTGAAGGACGGGTGGAATTCAGAAACGCTACACTACACACGAAGGTCAGTCAAGGTCGTGTAAAAGTAGACCGAGACCTTGATGTCGAAATAGAAATAGGGATATTCTTAATTGAAAAGGGACTGTTTTAGATATTTCAGTGATAGTTGCCAAGCTACTTTGACATGGGAGCATCAATATTTTCTTTGAGGTTTTTGTTGTACGGGGTCTCGCCTTGATGGAACTCGAGATTTGGAGAGAATTAGAGAATGGAACGGTTCGCGTTTTAGGCTTTAGCGGGAGAATAACATGATCAGATCAATATTTTAAATTGTTACCAGCAATGTTTTAATCGACAGTCACTGTAATAACATTACAAAATCAACAGCACAACAATTCAAGCTTTCATCTCTATCACACTCGAGATCAAATAAGATAATCTGACAAGAGAAGCAGTAGTTATCTTCATACTTTATATCGATCAAGGAAAGGTGAATACTTAATGCTGTAAAAGCACGTGAATATTTTAATTAAGAAGCCTGAATAAAGGAACCTGAATTACCAGTCACAACAATAGTATTTTGAACTAGACAAACATCGAGAGGAAAAAAGGTAAAGTGACAAAGATAGTCTAAAAATAGTCTTGGCCTCAACAGATTAGAGACGAACATAGATATTTTAGTGTATTTAGCACCAGTACACAGGTTAGAAATATATTTCATTTCAGTGATTCACGTGTAAAATCCTTGAGTTGACATTGGTCTTCCGTGTGTATTCTATTTATAAATCTAGCTTAAATTTCGTAGTGCCAAAATACAAAAAATAAAGTAAATCACTTCAATGGAGAGAATAAACAATTCAGGGTTACTAGTTTCAGCTCTCAGAGCCGCAAATTGTTTTCGAGGATGCATCACAGCATGGGACAGAAATACCCGAGAATTGAAGGCTGACCTGAAGGTTTCGAGAGGCCTCCAGCCTTTGTCTCCAGATAACATTTAGGTGTTATGAGAAGCCTCGAAGCTATATACTAAGGCCGAAGTAAATTTCGATTCCCGAGATAGGAATTTGGTTCAAACAGTAGCTGAGTTGGTGGTTCGTTCATGGTACATGTAGTGCTCACGTTCAAAAGCGGGTGAATTCTCAAAACTTAGTTCAGGCTTACACTTTCTAAAATTTTTTTCAACTGCCGCCGTTCACGTGTGATGAACGATTGGTCTTTAATAGACTAATTTTGTAATCAAACAGCTGGCTCAAACCAGACTTGTTTAGACTGCAAAAGCCGACATTTGCGGTCGTTCGAGAACCTTTAGAACTGAGGTCTCGCCAACCATGTATTTGCTTAAAAATAACTAGCAGCAAATCGTCACTTGTCAGGAGAGCCATACAGACGCAAATTTAAGGGGCAGCTGAGTTATGCTCGCACACCTCAGAGGAATGATCAACACACACCATGGTTTTAAAACTTGGAGAAGAGACAGTCATTTATTAGCTTATTACTTAAGTTACAATCTACCCTTTTGATAGTATCAACTGGATCATATTAAAATTCTGGATCAACTCTGTTTTTGCTTTGAAACAAGGAAACTGTCAAGGAATTAGAGAAATCAAACAGTCCGAGTTTTAATACAAAATTAAGAGAGTGTTTTCTGTTATGCGTAGCTCTTTTGTCATTTTGAAATGAGGTATGGGAAGTCTGAAGACGAGGCAATTTTGGTCTTAAACGATATAGGGTGTTACTGAGAATGCAGGACACCCCTTAATATTAGTAGTAGAATATTACCCGGACAAAGCTCTTATGTAACAAATGAAACCTGCAAGTACCAAATCTTTTCAAGTTGTAACCTAAGTTGGTATAGGTTAAGAGTGCAGCGGATCAATCTCTGTCATAAAAAGAGTAATGATTCCTGCAACATTTCTGTAAAGGGAGCTTTGCTTGGCAATGGTAGGGTTTTAAACAGAATTTTACAGTGAAGAGTTTTGCCCTTTATTTGTACCACGTGTCGACCAATGCTGGCGAAATTTCACTCTAACCTGGTAACTAATCTCTACAACGGAAAATTACTGAAGCTATGTGCATCTTAAAATTCACAGGAAGCTTTAGGCGGAGAAAGATCATAGCGTTTTCTTACGACTAGTGGGATATGGGTACCTCTATGAAGAATAAACAGCGGGATGTAAGAAAGTCAATTACATTTCTGATTATGTAATTTGGTACCCTTTGTCTTTCATTGCAGTAACAGAAACAGGATTAAAAAGGATTACACCGAAAACTCTTCTAAACTTCTGAAAGGGAAGTTCCGGTCCAGCTCGGTCCGCTCCGCTCCAGGAGTTGGTTACCATCATAACGTGAAGTTGAAGTTGGACATTATGTTTTTGATATGTTATAGCCAAACAGCGGTAGGAGATTTTTTGAACTTTAGTTGAATCAAATCCACGAGAGTCGGTCGGATATAAAACTTCTCGAATAGGTCATGCAAAAAGAAGACAATAAGCCATTGGAACCCATCCTAATTTACAGCTCATAATTGAAGTAGTTCGCAATTTCTGTAAATAACCGTCTCTAAAGGTCACCCGAATTAAAAGTCGCAAGAAGGGTGGACTTTGGGGCTTTCCAAGCTGGAAGATAAGGGTTGCTTAGATAAAATTATGGCGATAGAGAAGCGCCCCTTGAAGCCATCTTCACAACATGGAGGATGGAAATTTATCTCCTTAACCCTTCAACTCTCAAGATTCAATTGCTTATCATTCACTCTGGCTTCTACACATTTCCTTGTAAATTAGTGATGTTGGTGTTAAATCAAGATGACAACTGCTAAATAATAGGTTTGAGTATTGTCATAGACTGTTTGCTGGATAATGTATGGAGACTTGAGGGACAAGTGACATGTTAATCACTTCTTGGAGTTAAAGGATTAACACGTCGTGATATTCCTGGGCTTGACTCCCGCAATCAGACACATAACTTTTATCTCCTTAACACGTCGTGTTATTTCTGGCTTAACTCCCGCAATCAGACACAGATAACTTGAGAAAGCTCGGAATCATTACAAACAATGGATGGACACTTAATAAATAAAGAAATATACCAGGAACGAAATTCTACCAGTCAGCTTTCAACAAACACACTTCTCATGGCATACTCGAGCTACACCCTGAAATAAATAGTTTTTCAACGCAGGAATTCTGTTTCGCACTTTGGTTGGGCCGTGCCCTCTCAAACCTTAGAGCCGAAGAAAAAGGAGAGAGAATAGGTTGTATCCTTTATTCAACAACCCAACGAATAATAAAATAGGTATTTCTTTCTTGAAAATCAGTTTTATTGACAAAGTTATATATTTTTTCCATTTAGCTCACCATTATTTTAAATACAGCCATCTGAGCTGGACAAACCAACCAAATAAATCAAAAGACCTCAATAAATCATATCCCGTGAAAGTCGCGCGAAATATTTTACGTCAACGTGACAATAGTAAACTCATTAGTAATGAGTCAATGTTTAGCTTTGTTTTAAATATATTTTCACGCTATAATCTCCATCAGGTTTACAGCTTTAAAGCTCCGCTGATGTTCAAAGCACCTCTCGGAAGAGTGACGACCCGACTTTTAAGAGTCTTCGCCAATGTTACTTTTCCTTAAAGACGAATGATCAGCCCTGAAGTCCGATTAAGAATGAGCAGAGGGTCTCAATGGGGTTAACCGATAGTTTTGAAACGGCGAAAACATTTAGCCGTTAGGCGTACAATAGATAAATCTTAACCAATTGTCGTAAAAAAAATTCTTATCACAGCAATGGATGATTTAATCGTTAGACGCAAAATGGTCAAAATTTTAACCGTTAGCCGTTAAAGCCATCGCCTCATTGAGACCCTCTGAGGAGACTGTCGTTGAACTCAGAAATTACAGCGTTTAGGTTATTAAATATTCAACTCTATATTATTTCCCTCACTGAAAAACTCGTATTACGTAAGGAGAAGTTCTTCACCTATGTAGCAAAGATAGATTATCTCTGTTTTTGGTATAGTATGGCTTATGGTGCTTACAATCATATATTAGTCCCTTTCTTTGATGACCTTCTCAAAATTATTCTTCAAATTTAGGGCTATCAATTTATATCCCATGTGCCAAAGAACAAACGTAGAATTTTACCTAAATGTTCATCATAATCACGTTTGCCATTCGAGCAAATACAAACACGTCTCACAGCAGACCAAACTGCGCTACGTTTTGAATCCATACAGAGAAATTTTCAATTGAGGGTCGAAAGTAATCCGGGATTGCTCTGGGTTTAATTTCCTTTGCTTTTGGTTGGCCTAGAAAACTGGCGCCAACCTCCCACCAATCAGATGCAAAACTTAACACCATTGCGACATGGTCATTCGTCTTTTCCCGCGCTTTAAGCAGTTTGCCCGTTTACACTTGTCCTCATTGGCTGGTGATGATGTTAACTCGGTTCTGATTGGTCACTGACAACTTTGGTTTTCTTTTATCGACACTCAATTGAAAACTGCTTCAATGTCAGTAAAATTCACTTGTCTGTATGTCAACAACATCGAGAGCTTCGCTTGATAAACAACATCCAGCAAAACTATTCACTATAAAACCCAGCTCTAATGCATGGCGAGAAATCAGCTAAGACGGGAGTAAAAGACGAGTATAAAATACGCAGCTAAAGTGGTACTGGGGCTGAGGAAATGTCATCTATGGATCATAATAAAACCTAGTTGATGCTATTTACAATAATTTTGTAATATCTATAAACACAATTCTTTCATAAGAGGAAAATTTTCACCTAAACTTAATTTACACAATAATTTAACGTGAACACAAAAACCATCAGGATCGTATTAGATTTGGTATAAATTTCAATTAGTTTCTAACCTTAACAAATTTTCAAATTCACCTATTTTTACAAAAAAATTTAAATACGCTAAGAAAATAAAGAAATAACCATAATACCTTACAATTAATGGGTTTCAGCATTTGTTGTTTTACAATCATATATTCTGGTCTACCTGCAAAAGAGTATTTTTTCATTAAACTCGCCCGTTTACTTCGATTATTATTGCAAATTTCATTTCCAGAACATTATCGCTCAGAAATTGTTCGTCGTAACATGTGTGCACTTATCCTTTGGACACATTTGCAGAGGGAAATGTAATGTATGACTTCACATGCCACACGAGGTAAAGCTATTTCAGCAATAGGCCGCACTTGCTATCGGTTTACTGGCGTAGTAACCCACGCAAGCGGGCTTCTACACCGGTAAACTGATGGAAAGTGTGGTTTATTGCTTTTTTAACATGCAATGAGCGATAGGTTTTTACAATCAGGGCGCTCGTAGTATCTCAGTTAATTTATAATCATCTATAAACGTTGCTTCTTCGGATCTGGAAAAATTGAAACGAAAAATTGTTGCATTGTATCAAACACGTTGTGCATAAATTCCGTACCGTCTAAATGTTGAACTCTATATTTGGTTGGAACCTGTCCCTTGGCTTCCGTCCCCATCAGCATAGCTAAGTTCATCCATAGAGATCCTTGGAAGTGGCGCTCTCCAATATGTAAAAGAACTAAATTGGTCTGGTGCTATCAGCCCCGCTGGACGAAGATCTTCCATTTTGAATGGCGGGAACATTTGGTCCACCAAGTCACTAAGTTTGATGTACCTGAAGGAAACCAAATAATTATTTAACCTATTCATTCCTGAGGGACACCAACAAGTAATTTCTTTGATTCATATCAGCATATTCTCACGCAGCTTCCAACGCAGGTGCATTCCAGCCCCCCGCGCATGTTACAACTTTCCTTGCGTTTTGTTTTGTGCCGGCACCATGTCCCTTGTTTGGAAATCTG